CGTGGATATTTGGCGGTAAGGCATCAAAGCTGATAGAGCAGCCTCTGCAGCCTGCCCCCTAGAAGGGGAGCCGGGCGGGAGCCAGTGGGTTCAGGACCTTAAAGGGGCCTCATGTGCCTGGGGCAGAGCAAGCAGTGGGAGCCCAGGCTGGAGAGGCCGCCTGGCTCCTCCCTCTGTAGGTGGGAAAATGCCCAGGCCAAAGCTGATTGATGCCTGGAGAACTGTTGAACCACAGAGACCTGGCTGGGGAGAGGCACAGCCTCCCCACAGGCCACCATCCAAGTGTAGACATCTGGGATCAAGGCAATCGTTCCCGAAGGGCTGCTGGTCAGTCGGTGGAGTGGGAAGCCTGGCAGGCCTGACTGCAGGTAACAGGTGTCAGTGGCGGTCAGGCAGCAGGCAGCTGGATCACCTGCCGCAGGTTCAGGTTATATAGCCCCAGGGGATCTGGGGGAGAGAAGGTGAGAGCAGCTGAAGGGGCAGGATTTCCATTCCCAGGGCAGCTGGGATGCCAGGTGTGGACCCGAGAGTCATACGCAAATTTTACATAAGTACATGGATCCGATGTTGCTATTCAAATTCCTGAGCGTGGCCTACTCAGCCCTTTGTGATCTGGGAACCAGTCGTGTCTTCTCCCGCCATTTCACAGTGCCCATCGTACCCTCCAGTAAAATCCGAAGCTTTTGCAGGTCTCCAACCGTGTGTTTGTGTAGAGGGAAACCAGCTTTTTAATCTGCGTCTAATAATTGCCATTTCTCGTTATGCTTGCAGTGCCTTATAAGCCATGAAGACAAATAGAGTTTGATATTTAAATACAGTTTGAATTTAATTTAAATGTTGTTTACGGATTTTGTTTAATATTTAAACTAGCCATTGGCTCAAAGGGTCAAGAGACTCTCTCCCTATCCGCTGTCAGAGTTGTTTCTGACAGAACAGAGCTGAGGCTTCCGATAAAATTCCATTGCTCCTCTAGAAAATGGAGGAAAAATCAATAGCTAATGAGTCTACTGCCTGGATGTCTACTACTCGGTATTGTGAGTTTGCATATTTCTTTGGTGGATTAAAATATAACAAAATAGTGAACTGTTGGTTGTTTTTCTAGCTTCCAGGCATCTCTTCTTTCTCAAAAGCCAGTTACCTCATACTCAACCTGAGGCGGGGACTCTTGGAGCACTATATGGCCCATTTAAATTAAGCTTTTACCATCAAATGTCACCAGACAGGAAAGGGAACCAATCATTGAAACAAAGAAGTGAAAATATCTAAGGCTTTATGAGAGCAATAATTTTTTTCTTGAATAAGAAAAGCAGAATTTAACAAAAAAAATCACATCATTACATTCTATCTAGTAGAAAGGAACTGTGACCTTTGCTAACTCTTTTACTTAAACATTGTATCAGAGTCATGATTTGTATAAGAAAATGCTACACGGAACTTTATCTGTTGAAAAGAAAGTTGGAATGACTTTGAAGGAAGAATGAAAAAATAAATTGGTACATTTTCCCTTTTCTATCAACTCTCACTCAGAGCTTTGGTGGCCTCATATAGTTTCATAGTGAAAGATCATCTACATTCTGACAACTCCCAAAGAGATATCTCTGGCATGAATCCCACATCTCTGTGTCCAACCATCTGTCCGACCTCTCCACCGGACGTCTAGCAGACATCTCAAATACAAAACCTCCAGACCTGAGTTCCTTATCTTCTCTGCAAACTCGATTCTTCCACAGTCTTCCTCACAACACCAAGCGACAGTTTGTCCTTGCAGAGGTCCGGGCCAGGCACCTTGCAGTCCCCTTTGACTCCTCACCCTTCATTCAGTCCATCAACAGATCTGGTCTTCTGTATTTTCCCAGGATCGGACACTTCTCCTCTGACACTTTGTCCCCAATCTCCCGCCATCTCTCATCTCGGGCATTACCACGGCCGTCTACCTGGTCTCTCCGCTTCTCCCCTCACCCCTATCATGTACTGTCAACACAGAAGCCTGAATAACCCTGTTAAAACCTTAGAGCCTGTTATTCCCCCACTCACAGCCCTCCGATGGCTCTTTATCCCTCCCAACGTAAAATGAAGACTTTGAAGGCAGACACGATTATATAGGATACAGCTCTCTGTTCCCTCTCCAACCTCACCTTCTCCCTTCTCCCCGTCACTAGGTTTGCTGAGGCCACCAGGTCAATGAGGTGCCCTTACTTCAGGAGCCGCATCCTGCAGGGCCTTTGAACTTGCTGCTCCCTCTGCCTAGACTCCTCTTCCTCCCCATGTCCATACACCTCAGTCAGCCCACTCGGGTCCTCCCTCAAGTGCTGTTTGCCCGCTAGAACCTTCTCTGGCTTCTTTCTTAAAATCCTACCCCAACTCCATTCCCTGCTTGCTTTTTCTCCACGGCACTGAGCACCTTCTAACCTACGACGTATTAAGTGTCTTGTTTCTTGTCTGTCTCCCCGTGCTGGAATGTAAGCTCGTTTCATTTTCCTTAAGTAATCTTCTAATTTCTCTTACGTTTGTGTTGTCTTTGACTTTTATGGGAAGTTCTGGCTTGTTCGTTCACCTACATCGCCCATCCGTAGTCGAGACTTTGTAAATATTTGCTAAATGAATAACTGAACTAACTTTTTTCCTGTTTGACCATCACCTTAAAATGAATTTCAGATCAGCAAAACATTAAGCAAGCAAATTAAATACAACCTTAACTAAACAGAAGGGATTTCATACCAATAAAGACAGTCATCAAAAAGCTGGTTCATCTTCCCAGTGAAGTTTACCAGATACATGCAAACACTCAGAATTTCAGAAGGAACGCAGTTCACACCACTGGTTCTGGGGTTTCACTTTAAATTGCATCTCTTCGTAGACCATTCTTTTAGTCTGGGGTCGGGGAAATGGCTCTCACTCTCCGGTTAAGGAATGGTTTGTCTTCTTGGACTCCGTTATCAGGAAAACTTCAGATAAGCTATTGAACAAAGGTCACCCTACCCCATCAGCTCTAATGAGGACCATATAGTAGCAGTACAGAGCAATGACACCCTCCGCCTCCCCCGTGTCTTCCCGAGCGGGCTGTTGCCACAGTTCTGAGTGTGTCTGAGCCGTCGGTCAGTACGCGTGCTCCCGATAAATCGTCGTGTTCTTCTGAGTGACGTAATGTGCGGTGGTCCAGGTTAAACCACTTCATACATTTCTTTGCTACCTTCCAAAAACGTTAATTATCCTTCTGGGCAAAGTATCAGCTCATCATCAGAAAGGTTTTTTGTTTAAAGAATGGTAATAGCTTCAGTGAAAAGAGCAAACAATATTGTGTCACTTTACAAAGTTTAGCAAAATGCCATCTATTTCATTAGGCTGACTGTTCCTGATGATGATGGCAGATGGCTAGTCAAATCCCCACCCACTCTGCCAACGAACAAAACCTCAACAACCAAAAAAAAAAAAAAAACCCCTTAAAAAACATATAAACGCTAGACAAGGGAGAGAGACATCTACCACTTGGCAAACATTGGTCATTAACCCATGACTACCCATCCATGGAAAATAATCCTAAAGAGAGCAATTTCATCATATGTGCTGTTTTGTTTTACACATTCGCAGACAGCATAGAAAATCAAAACACTGGATCAAAACAGTCACTCAGTAGAGTGTGGACACTGCAGGTAAGGCTCCCAACATGTGACATCATCTGTCCGGCTCATGCCGAGGTGCCACGCTGGAGGCCCTGCCATGCTCACCCCTAATTGCATCCCATCCGTAAGGAACTTTTTCCTGAATTCTTCAGCCATTCCCCGGGGAAGGCTACTCTTTGAAGTCAGCAGGGGCGGGTAGCACCTACTTGATGAGAACTCTCTTATCTTAGATCTCCATTGTGTAGTTTTATGTTTGCATTGTCTTTTACTTTGATGTG